CAAGTCTCAATGGCCGTTTGACGAGCACGAAGGCAAAGTTTCTAATTGTAATAACAAGCTATTAAGGTATCACTAAATATGCTAAACAAAATTGGCTCTAATGTTGAACGTTGATGTACCGCAGAGGAGACTTTTTTAAGAGCAGACAAACACTTATCAGCCTTCACATTGTCACCTATTGTCAAGATATGACTTCATTGATTTTCCGACAGAATGTTCGATATAAGTTTTTTAAAAATTGATAATCAACAGCTGCAAAAATCCATAACGACCAGAATTGCAAGTTATTCTTTACAATACGCTGGGCCAATACGCTTGAACACTTTTTTGATTTGGAACAGCGGTATTACAGTGTGTTCAGGTTTATAGCCTGATTAGTTAACTCATAGATTTTTATCTTTTGACTCAGCGTTTAGACACTGACACTGACCAATTACTACTTCATTATTTCAAATATTTAGATTCTACGTTATTATTAAGATCTGCTTCAGCCTTCTCACTTTTAGACTTGATTATTTGCACTTCAATTTCAGGAGTTCTCTTCTTTATTCCATAAATCTGCGTGCTTTGCTTTGTTCGGCTTCAGACTTTGATTAATATCATACATCTTTTTTTTTTGCCTGGTTAACTCTTGACTAACTTTTTCTGATATTTGACTTCAGGCAAACTTTATTTATAATTTATTCAAAAAATAAAAATTTCACTCAACTTGCCATTTTACCTTTTGTCGATAGTTTTTAACCATAGTTTGGCTTTGTTTCTATTTTTATTTTAAATGACAATTCAAATTTATTTTCATATTAACGTGAAAAGTTGCTTTTTTGTTACTGTGTCTTGCAACTCTTTTGTAACGAAACGTTGTCACCGTCGACATAAAGCTCATTAATTCATCAACCAGCGTCTTTACCAGCGGTGCTTGACATCACGACTGGCCATTCTTTAGACCAGTCTTTGAAACAATCCTGCAGTTGTCTTTCCTTCTTTATCAGACGTTTCGACTTTCAAATCGAACCTACGCAAATGTCTTGTTGCCCGACTCCCAACCTGCAGTCCTTTCTAACCATATCATTAGCACCATGTCTACATGAAAGACATTTTCTGAGTGGTCAAATAAAAATATATTCATTCTAACTAAATTGTAGATAAATAGATATGGCTATTTTCTGTTTGCTGTTTTTTTCGCTCTTGATATTTTTCTTGTTGTAGTTGTGATTGTCATTCCATTCATTATTGTTGTTGGTGTAGTAATCACTTTTATTGTGTGGTAATTGTTGATGTCATGACTACTCTCAGTGGTATAGATGATACAGATATTTTCGTTTTATCTATTGTCTCTATATTTGTTGGTGAAATCCTAAAAGATGTATGTGAACTTATCCCCTCTACGTATAGATGTAAATTGTTTAATTTTTTTTATGGTTTCAAGCCTGCTCGGTAGGAATTAAATATTTTAAATTAAAATCAGCCTGCAAGTAAAGTAAAGACGTCTTAGCAAAACATAGTAAAAGAAAAATGCTTTGCGACAAGCCTACTGTTAATAAAAATACACTTAACTCTTTCCTTACACGGTAGATATGTTACTTAAAAATGGATAGGTAGATATGTCACGCAAAATACGTGTAAAAAATACATGCGACATATGGGGATATATCCTACAAATATCGTGGAAAATGAAAAATTTATTTCGAGTTTTTTCAAAAACCCGTGGAAAGAAGTAATGATGAAATCCATGATAGATATTTTTAAACACCAACAACTCATATTTACTATAAAAAAAAATTAATATACAATGAAGCTTCAATCCGTAAGAACAACGTACAAACCATTGAAACCATATTGAAAGTTGATAATAATTGTGCCTATTTATTTCGGAGCGGAGCACCAACAAATGAACATCAACTTCCAAAATTTTATTGAAATTATTTATTGCATCCTACGAACAGAACACCCTAACACAAAACAGGTATTGAATAACGAAATACTGTATTCAAGTTGAAGTACAACGAGATAAAGAAAGAAGTGATCATAAAATTTTTGTATTTCACGTAGCAGACCAAGTCACTAACACAATCAATATCAAAATTAAAACCAAATTCTGTTGAGATTCGTGCAAGGACAAAAATTTCATATATTTTTTTATGGATGAAACGTGTTCTTTCAAAATCGAGTAAAAAAGGACAGTGTAAAAAAACTTGGGTTTACTTACACCTACCGATGCTAAAATCAAAAAAATCTTATAAAGATTGCAGAATACAGCAGAAGAAAATCCGTAAAATTTTTCGTAATTGTTCCCTTCCTCAAAATTAAAAAACAATATATTTCATGATTCTCAAACATTCGAAATCGACATTTAGCTTTAAGCAGGGTTTAAGCAATAACCCAATGAAAAACACTCCGCTTTGGCAAAACGATACCTCAATTGACGATAGATACCTCAATGAATATTATTAGAAGATATGTAGCTGAGAAATATATAACCATAATCATAGCGAAGGTTTGCAGGTGGGATCGCATGCATTTGATGTAAAAGCGTGTTAGAACTCCTATTGTAGTAAGTATAAGATTTGTTAATGGCAATAAGTTTATAATATAAGAGTATGCAGCTAACTTGCAGCAAGTTTGCAGTCATCTTGCCTTTTCCTTTGCTTGCACCCATTTCACAACACTAAAATTGTAAGGATTGATAGACCCAATGTAAATGCAATACGTTTGTTTTTAAACAACTTATATTCGGAAGTAACAAATATTTGACAGTAACGGAGATAATGCTGTAATATTAATTTATCATTTCATTTTTAAAAAGAAGATATGAAAAAATGCTTGTGAACGTGGAAAATAATAATATTAAACAGCAAACATAAAAACAAGGACATGAATTAATTGTAAAAGTATATTGCTAGCCACTATGGAAATGCCGTTCGCTTACATCACCAACAACTATGGTCAAGAACGACAGCGGCATTTGAGTGAAAAGCAGTAACACCATTAGCGATAACAGTAACGCCAAAGAATCAAATAAGTAGTGAGGTAGCATTGATATTGTGACTGAGGACAATGCCGATCTAAATTAGCGATTGACATTGCCAGCGTTAAGGTGGCTCTTATTATAGTAACGAATCCGGATGAATACAACCAATAAATTATGTATCAATGCTTACAAGTGGCACCCAACGGCAAAGCTACTAGCATCTTGTTGTTATTTATTTTAAATAAATATTTTACCGGATCTGGCCTGATACAAACTTAGTCTTGTTTTTGAGAAACGTTCTAGCATAAGGTAAGGTGAATGTATGTTCTCCTTATTTTTAGTATTGAGAACTTGACGCAATGGTTTTATTTTGTCAGTAGCGATAAACCTTTTTAACAAAAACGTGTGCGCGTTTGCCGGTCAATGTCCTGTACTCTTGTGCAATAAGGCGATGATCGGAGTGATTTTCAAAACGTAGTCAGGCTTCGACAGGAGAAGTCGAGTTTTTTATTGATTCTTTCATGTCCCCGGGGAGATTACCTTAGACATAGTTGCCTGATTTAGCGTGGAACATTTTCCATAAGCTGAGACGTATTTGAATTCATGAAACTGATGTCGTAGTACTTTGGGCAGAGAGGATGATGATGGGAAGAGGGATATTTGCTCAAATCTCGACAAGGAAGCGTATCAACAGATTTCTGACTATTACTGTAAAGCTCCCAAGGAGAAATCTTAATACTAGTTATAAATTCGGTCATGGAATTGTATATTTTTTGCTGGTTTTTCCATCATTTGGCAGCACGCAATAGGCAAAACACGTTTCTGTCTTTGATAGCTACAGCAAAGGAGGTAATTTCTACCCATAAATCTTTGAGAGACGAAAGTGAGGAGGAACATTTGAAATAGGCAGCGCTTTCATCTACTGTGGCAGTAGATTAATAGGAAGATATAATAGAAAGTCTACATTGTACAAACATGCCTATAGGACATGTCAAAGCTTTACATGCTTCTTCTCGAATCACGTTTTTGAAAACGGCACCCAGCGTAAACTACGCAATATTTATTTTTACAACAAACATCGAAGGATGGGGTATTTACGTTTTATAAAAATACTTGCAACTCCGACAAAGAACCCTTAGAGACTTCTTAAATTATATGTATTCCTGTTTAGCAACAAATTCGGAATCGATTTAATAATGTCCGTCTGCGCGTTTCCATGATATATGTTGAAAGCCTTCTTCGTTCGCAAAGATACTGGCTCCAAATTTGGCAAAAACATTGGAAGCTCTTGCTCTTGTTGTTGAAATTGGTCCAAATCAGTCAAAGGGCACGCCCATAGAAAAATATATGAAGCGAGAACTTCACTGTCTTCAGAGCAAAAATGAGGTCTTTTTTCATTAGTCATAACCTATATAAATAAAAGTTTCCATATATTGGCGATTCTAAGGCTGTACCAAATTAGCACAGCCAGCCACACCCAATTTTATAATGTTATAGATTATCGAAATTTTATTTTCTTCAAATTTTTTCAAGTAAAATTTGGGAGTATAGAAGGTTTGGCGACAAATAATTCGACTAGGATATAATTTTTTTACTTCTTTTAGATTAAAGTTGGACGATTGTAGCAAAACGTGTATTTGAAAAGGTTAATAATCTGCGTTAATTGAACTTGTGACCAGCATGAAAAAGCTGCATGGTCGGATTTCTTTTTAACCTGTTGCGTTCCACAAAATATTTTGTTTTCCGCTAAAAGTTTCCTTTTCAATGAGTTTTCTATTCAACGTTTGCTGTACATTTTTGGTTGGAAAATTTCAAAAATAAAATTGTGAAATGCAGAATTGTAAAAGCGGCTTACCGAAAATCCTTTATTTTACTTTCAATATTAATACTCAATTTTAAATATTAAACTATTTTGCGTTTTGATCACTTATACATTTGTCATAGGTAATGCTTATCTAAGGTGACCTTGTTCTTCATAAAAAATAAGCATATTTTTAACGGTCAACATTCGCCGACGTGTTTTTCGTTTCAGTTCAATTGCTCCGATGGCAAGCTTTACGCACTCCCACCCTTCAATTACAACAATGCCTGGTTCACCCATAACACAGCAGAGAGATTTGGGTTCATCATCTTTTTACCAATGTCATGTATCTTTACGTCCGCCCATCTCACATTCACATCACCATCATCATGGCATGCCAGGTAGTTTTGGTAGCGCGGCAGGTAGTAGTCAAATAACTTGCACTGCAGCCAATTTACAGGGCATAAACTGCAATACTACCAGCCAGACAAGTTCAACCTTTGACACTTTAGGAACTTACGGCCACACCGTCGGGCTACCTCCGCCCTTACCCACACATCACAATAGTATACTGGAAAATTGCGCAGCTCGTCAAACAACGTACAGCCCTCATTCTCACTCGCATTTAGGCAACAATAGCAACGCTGCCGCCACTGTATCAGCAGCTTCATATTCCCAGATGGGGTACAACGGCTATGCGGCTGTTGCCGCAGCAGCTTCCGTTACAGCTGCATGCAACGGCAGTAGTAATAGCAGTCCCCCCGTAGTTAATTCACACAGCGCAGCTGGTAAGCAACAGCAGTTCTTTGCGTCCTGTTTCTACTCGCCATGGGTATAAGTCAATGAATCAGTGAATGAATCCTTCACCCGAAATATTAAAAAAAAAAATAAATAAATAAAAAAACTTTGTAATAGCTAACGCAAAGTTAAAAGAAAAGGAAAGTGTACATGAAGCGTTAATACATATAAAAATGAAAGATATATTTGGTCTTTACGAAATTTCATATTTCCAAATGTTATATGTTACCTTAAAAACTACGATAAAGTTAATGTCCGGCTAATTTTGAAACCTTTGTAGGTTAGTTTCATGTCAAGCATTAATTGTTAAAAACATGGTTTTCAAGCTTACACACTTTTATATATTTTAATTTTGCGTTCTCCTTTTTGTGGGCGTGTAAATTGTGATAACAATCATATTTAACTACCATATTTATTAATACCTTTGAACTAGGAGTACTTGAAAGTAGATGCTTTTTTCCTTAATTTTTAAAACGTTAATAATTTAAGTCCAGAGCAATCCAGACGATTACACCAACCAAAATGTCATGCTAATCAGAATTAATAAAAGTGTTTGTGCTCTTCAAAGGTGTTACAATATAAAGCAGCATCTATACCGACGGTAAGTATAAAAAGTTTACAGAAGAAGCTACGACAAAGCACATGAATTATAAGTTTACAAGCTGCAATGTCTCATTTAATTTCAGTTGACTTTCTTTAAACTGATTTATTTCATTAGAAAGCTCACCCCTAATATATCTGGTAAGATTAATCTTTCGATGTATGCAATGATGTACAAATTAATAATTGATTGTAAGCAGATACTGTGAAAACTGCAGGAATTCACTTATGATTATAAGAGAAGATGCGAAAAAGTCAAATTAAGAAATTTAATAATATGTATTTCATATATAATCTCATCTTGTAATGTAAAAAAAGAATTTACGAGTGTCTATAGCGGTGTAAAACCTCTTTTCAATACAATTTATATTTACGTACAAAAGAACGTGTAATATATGTATGAGGTGCGGAGTGGATTATTGTTGATACATACACACTGTTTACCCGTTTAATTACACAATGTTCAAGTTCATCTCGCCAAAATTTTGGTGTATGCGTTGGAGTTCAATTCTTCGGGGTTCAACCTTTGCTATCCGTTGGGACCTGTATACGGAGCATTTATTCTAGTTTCTACAGTGGACGGTTTTTGATTGCAAATCGAACTTTACCCTGCTACTTGTGACCAGAATTGCTTCATTCGAAGGAAGGTTGAACGCCGCTATGTAAAGGGGCTTCGTAGGTAGTCGAAACCCCATTCGCAAGCAAAAGCGGGTGATTTCATTATGGCAGGGATCGTTTTTCTTTCCGACTATTTTCGGTTTTCCTTCTACATATTGAGGTTTCGAAAGTTAATTATAAAATTTTGTGAACAAATTTGAAAGCCTCTGTAGTCTTAATAAAATTTTAAATTTTTTCTAAGTATTAATGAGAGCACTATACTATGGTTAGTTAGCTACAACTGGTTATTGTTATCTGTGCAAAGTAACTATTGAACCAATCACCCCACCTCACCAAGTGATTCATACCGGAAGCGAAGTCTTCAGTTTTTTAAGAAATCATAACCAAAACACATACAGCACACACACATATGGCTTTTAATACCATTCATCCTGAAACTAAACTTTGGCATGCACCTTCAGTATGTTGCTATCGTTGCTAGTGGCCAAGATGGGCGTCGCAAATGAATTCCCTGTTTGTATAACAAATTAAGGGGACTATTTATCAAGTATTGCATTACAAACTCTTTCTTCATGGCACCCATATTCCTCCGAATATATATTTTATGTGAAATAGACATGCTTTTTATTAACTCCTCCCTGGTATGCACTTGTAGGTGCGTCAGCAATGATCTCTGTTGCGTTCTTGATGACGTCAATTGTGCTTATTTTTCTCAAGTTTGAAATGCCGTGGTTTAATGTTTAAAGCCTGCATCACTTATTATACCCCGCACCACTTGTGGTACAGGGTATATTAATCTGTGCGGATGTATACAACACCCAGAAGAACTTAAAATGCCGATCAATTCAGAATGATTTTTTCTAGGCTTGTCTGCGTGCCCATCTAATGTCTGTCCATCGTTTCCTTTTGTAAAATGTGCAAACGAGCAGATGTGGTTTCTTTACAGTGCCATGAATGCTTTTATTGCTAAAGCGAAAGCTTGACACAGCTATACAGAACAGAGACAATTATATGAAGAATTAAAACGACGATGCATGATGGTTTTCCTTAAATGTGTATATTCGAAGCATCACATGCTTCCTTAAGTAGAAATAGACAGTAGAAATGATACACGGTCTATAATCTATCTTTATGAAGATATCAGTTTGGGGAAAAAGAAATCCATTATTTTTTCGGTAGATGGCTGCACTGATAGATTTCTCGTAAAGTATCGATCAAACAATTTCATATTTATGCTCGTTGGAAAGGTGACATTTCGCAGTAAAAAAAATTCTTGTGCTGTTTTTTGTTTGGTGCATTCCGTTGTGAGTTACAGCGTGTTAAAAATGGAAGTGAACAAAGAGAAAATTCGGTACATTTTACAGTTTTTCTTTGACAAAGGCGAAAATGCAAGCCAGGCGGGTAAAATTGTGAATGGTGTTTATGGTTCCGATACTGTAACAGCCAATTATGTGCAATTTTGGTTTCGTAGATTCCGTTCAGGAATTTTTGATGTTAAAGATGTACCTCGCACAGGTAGGCCGGTCGTTGAAAATATCGATAAAATCGGGGAAATGATCGAAGTTGACCGGCATGTTAGCAGTCGTAACATCGCCCA